TAACACCCACTCCATTCTAATGCTCATATCCTTTGGATCCCTGTACCAGACCATGTCAGGTATTGAGGAGTCTATACCCACCAAACCCTTTCACCTGCAGTATTCAATGTCCCGCCTCTACCCCCCACCCCCGCTCTGTTCTCTTCATCTGCTTCACTTTTGCTCACCTTTTCAACCTCAGCTCAAATATTGCTTTCTCAGGAAAACCTTTCTTTTTAATACTAATGTTCAAAGTAAGGAGTGTTATAAATTCCTACCTTGAATGGTGACAATAGCTTTTCTTTCTTTCGAATCTATGAAAATCATACACTCAGAGATTTTCATAGATTCAATGTGTGGTGGTCAACCACAAACTTTTTGTTTTGATGCCCAAATTGTCTAATCTTTGGGCAGTGGGGCCCCTTCAAGCTGGCTCCTATGTTCTTTAAAGGGGACACTCTTAATCACTGAAAGGTCCCTTACTATCTGCCACAATAAAGTATCTCAAACTCATCTATACTTTTCTGCCCAAGCTCTGGAATCAGCCATTTATTTTTCCAAGGAGCTCTGGTTCCTTTCAGTGATGGAAAACTCCTTGAAATTTAATAATAGTATTTTAGGACAAATTAAAGGAAATATTACATTATACAGTAATAGATTTGAGTAGAGTAATATACAGATGCTGAAACAATGAGAAGATCCTGAATATGTATGGAGAAGGGTAGAGATGGCAGAGCTGGCATAGCCAGTTAGGAAAGTTAGCAGAGCTGAACATCTGTAGCCTGGTTGCCATTGTGAAGTTTACCATGATGACTCACTAAATGCCCTGTCAGTACATCATCAGCTGGGGATTATGTCCCATTGCCGAGAATAGAGAACTCAACTTTGAGACACTTGGGCAAACAGGGCTTCTCCTTTTTTTATTGATAGTCATAATTAGAATGAGAGTTACAATAGGGAACTGATATTGGTGCTACAGCATTGTCAAGATTAACATTAATATTGATGATAATGGTAAAAGAAGCACAGAATTCACCATTGCAGGACTGGTCTGATGGCTCTGCAATGCCATCAGGGACCCAGGCCCCTTCATCTTTCCATTTAGCCACATTTAGGGTATAGCCTTCATCCTCATGCCTGCCAGCTGCCTCATTCCATTCAGATGTAAGTATTCACATTTCAAACAATACAAAGTGGAAGAGAGAAAGGCAAAAGCCAAACTCTGCCTCTGATTCAGCAGCTTCCACTTCTATCTCATTGGACAGGACTGTGTCATGTGGTCACCTCTGGCTGCAGTGGAAGCTGGGAAATGTAGTTTTAGCAAGGCACTTTGCCATCTGAATCAAACATTGAGTAAGAAAAAGAACACATGTTGGTTAGGCAATCACAGTGTCTGCCACAATACAGTTGTCTAAGGCAAAATACTAGGCTGCATGAGCATGGAACCTATTTCATTATTATTGACATTTTATTATTACTTTATTCCCATTTTAGATAATGATAAACTGTAAAATAATGGAGGAGCAGGAACTATGCACAAAGATGGGGAACATAAGCAGTAGCAGGATAGTTTGGCCACTGGACATCACCTACCTCAACAGTTGAACAATGCATGTGTATAACCATATAATAGCTTCGGTTCTTCTGTTGCTCTTTTCATTGGCAGTCACAGCCCTCAGATTAGAGTTGCAGAGAGAACATTGCTACTGGAGCTATAGCACTGTCACAGATTGAAGATTAACTCGAAGACACATCGTGGATAAAGAAATATTTTCCTAAACTGAGCAAATCCCTTCATGACACTTGAATTTAGGCAAAATGAATCCTGCAGCACTTTGAAAAGAATGGTGACATTTCTGCAATTCTTAGACTTTCTTAAGCTGTTGTCTTCAGGAAGCATGTTTGCTTTCCTGAATAAAGCATCTTTACTTTGAGAACTACCATTCCTGAGAATCTTCACTCTGCTAGTATAATTTAAGTGGGATGTTCAGTGAATGAGCTTGATGAGAAATAAATGGTGCTCATCAGTGAAGACCTGCAATGGGGCCTCTGTGAGGAAAATATGCAGTGTATCCTTAAGAAAGGATGAAAAGACCTTTTCCTACATTATCAGTAGATCCTATCCACCACTCCCTGCCCCAGATTTAAAATCTAGATTATCAAAATATTGGCTACTCCAGAACCTTCTTATCAATTGAATAAAGTTGAGTTTCATTTTATGTAAACCATGGCAAGATACCTTCCCCGTCCTATGACTTCCAGTTTCTGAAGAGTTTGAGGGCGTGCCACTGCAGCGAGCCAAGGTTTCTAGATAAATGTTTTGGTAAAGATGCAAGAGTAAGTCAGATATTCAGAGACTGTGATTAGCATTTCTTTATTACCTCCCATCTTCTAAATCCTTTACAAACACTAAGCTGGGTCAGGGGGCCTACAGACAGGGAGAGGGAAGGATTAGAGAAAGATGGAGAAAGGCCACAACTGCATGCCTCACTCAAGCCAAAACATACTTTAACCCCAGTCTATTCCCGGCAGAGACACTTGTGGCCTGAATTGTCCAGCCAATCGCCTAACTCTCTACTTTTCTTTTCATGTGTAGATACAATCCAACCTGAGTTTTCTTGACTATCCTGCTGGGAAGGTGCAGGACTCTCCATATAATCTGCTCTATTTTACATGGAGGGGGTCACTGAACCACAGAGATGTTAAAGGGTTTTTTTCCTTGGTCTGTGGCTGAGCCAAGATCACTCTGTGGTGGAGTATCTCCTACCCGGAAAAATTCCAGAGTCAGATCAAGAAACCAATCAAGGGGATTCTTGTTTTTTCAGCCATCTAAGCAAAATGCCAAATAGCAGCAAAAATATATTTCTTATCTCCTCTTCTAAAATATATTTTAGTGGGAGAAAGAGTTCTTCATGACAGGGAAAAAGAGAGAGAGCTTCATTTTTAGCACAATTAAGTAGTAACTCCCAGTTGCTACAATGCCATTAGGACTGAATTTGCAGGGGATCCCTCAAACAATTGGCAAGCAAATCCTGGGCCCCTTCTGAGACTTATATTCCCAAATCCTGTGCAAAAAATTTTCCCTGGGAATTCAGCTGTCCTCACTAACACTGTTTGGGAAGTTTTAGGGCTGGGGATCCAGGGAGAAAAGCAAGGGAACAATTGCATTTAGTTATCTCCCCTCAGGCTGTGCTAAAGAGGCCTTATGTTGAGGAAAGACATAGTATGTACTCCCTTGCTCTCTCTCTCCATGCACTGGACCAAAGTTCAGCACAATACTCTTGGCTTCTGTTGAGTTGATCAGTGCCAGGAGACAAAAGCCATGGCAGAGAGGTGGCTGGGAAGGTGAATGAAGACACTGCCCCAAAAAGAGAGGGCAAACAAAAACATGCTGAGAGAATCCAGCAAACCCTCTGTAACTTCATGTTTTAAAGAGGAGGCCGCAGACATGCCATCTATCCTACCCTCTTCCTGGCCTCTTGGAACATCCACAAAACTGATTTCTGTTTAAAGAAAAATCCATTCTCTCACCTTAGCTCTCTAAGAATATATTTATATGCTGCATAAGTTTCATCCCCAGGCCCTTCTTGACTTTGGGGACTCAGAGTCAGGAGTGTTTTGATACCAGATGTAACCCTTTGGCTGGGTCAGAAGCACTGTGGTGGGGGCAGGGAGTGCATGTGGAGACAGTGTGCTGGAATATATGCTCCAAACCCCAAAACATGCCCAAGAATAACAAGAACATTAACCACTGACCCAAGGGCTGGTGAAATCCTATCTCCACATCTCTCTCCACCAGTAAACATGAAAATGCCATCTCTGAAGGGATGGAGGAAGCTACCGAAGAAAGGTCCAGAGAGAATGTGAGGAGAAGGGCTGGTTTGGGGAAGAAGTCCAGCAATTTCTACACTCCTCAATCACTGGGAAATTTTCCCCAAGTGACAACTAAATAGAGACATTTTTCACTAGCTGGGTAAAACAACAGACTAGCACTTTTTAGAATAAAGGCATTAAATTTTTAGAATGCCTTTTTGTCACTTTTTCCAGCTACCTTCATCTCCTTCATCTTCATCTCATGCTGTTCTTCCCTCCTCCCCATACCGGCCACACTGACCTTCTTTCTGTCCCTCAGATGAACCACGTTCATCCCCACCTCAGGACTGCCTTACATGTAATTCCTGCTACTAGAATGTTCTCCCCACAAATCTTTGCAGGATGCTTTCTTCTTTTGTTCAAGTCTAGTGTCAGATGTCACTTTCTCAAAAAAGTCTGCCCTAGCTATCTAATGGTGTCCCCAGCTGCTCTCTATCATTTTCTTCTTAGCAATCACCACTCTCTGATCTGATTTTACTTATTTATCCATATATTTATTGTTTATTCCCCTGAACTAGATTTACACTCCAAGAGAATAGGGCCCATGTCTGCCTTGTTTATGGCTGTATCTCCTGTGCCTAGTATGTGGTTGGCATTTTTTGATTGGAAGGAAGGGAGGGAGGGAGGGAGGGAGGGAGGGAGGGAGGGAGGGAGGGAGGGAGGGAAGATAAATGAATGGATATAATCAATGATTTAGATCAAGTATTGTATTCAATTTGGTAAGCTCTTTTGTTCCTTGACCCACACCAAAGAAACAAACCCTGGACTATAGGGTTATAGCTAACGCTGGTGTGGTTAATCAGTTGAACCTGTGAAAAGGAAAACGTAATTTGATTCCCACTCTAAATGAGCACCTATTGGCCTTTCAAATAGTACTTTTGTGTTGATGTGTTTGATGTTTAATAAATAGTCCATAATTCATTTACCCTCAAAAAATTCCCAAGTAGCAGACTGGAAGAAGTTTCCTGATGATTTGGCTTATTGAGAATGGAGAATTAAACCATGGGGCAATGAAAATGAGTTGGGAGTACCATACAGGCTTAATTCCAGCCACTGCAATTCTCCTTGCTCCTGAATTGAATGGACTGTTAAGGATGGTATTTTTAATTCATGCCCTATTTATTTGTTCACTTACTTGTTTGTTTTAGAATAACCTCAACGTGGAAAGTGACTCTACATCAGAAAGCAGCTCTCCTTTCTCCAGAGAGGTACCAGGGGAGCATCCGGACCACCAGGCTGCACACCAGCCCCTCCCCAGACAGCGATTCCAGCAAGAGGCTGGGCACCCTTCATTGCAAAGAGATGGTCCAAAATCTTTTCTCCTGGATCTACCAAACTTCCCAGATCTTTCCAAAGCTGATATCAATGGACAGAATCCAAATATCCAGGTAAGGCTTAGCAGCTGAAAAGTGGAAGAAAATGAAACAGTCCATCTCTTTGTTTCCTGATCTGATTTCAAAGCAACTACTGCCTTACCTCCCCTTTCTTTTTAACGCTTTCATGAGTTCTACTTTTGATCATGTCATCTCTCTAAGAACAGTGTTGTATTTCATCTATGGAAAACCCTTGATTGGGAGATGCACCATTATTTGATAAACCACTAAAAAGATAAAACATTGCTAATTAAAGCGTGACACAGCAATGCTAAGAAGATGCATTCTGATATCAGAGGCACTGAAATGTAAAAACAAAACAAAACAAAATAATATTCCCTGAAATTGATAAAACATGGAAGCTGTGGGGAAGAGCCAGTATAACATGTGAGTAGACGAGGCAAATGATAGCATGATTTCACAGGTGCTCAGGTAAGCCACTTTCTCTCAAATGCCTCTCTAGCTTTCCTTGGACACCAGAAATTCCTTCAGGAGGTGACAACACTTCAATTGCGCTGAAGTTTAAATGACCGATAAAAAATTTTTTTGACAAGAGGAAGGGAGGCGAGGACAGAAGCTCCTAAGGGAGAGATGAACACATACCACTAAGACGAAATGGGATTTAGCTGAAGGAAATAGAAGGTTATGCAAAGCAGAGCCTGGGATTGAAAGTGATAATACTCAGCCTACACCAAAATTGCACAATAGACTTTACAAAGCAAATGTTGATCTGATTTGACTGTCCCAACACCCTTATGAAGCACAAGCCATTTTCCCAATATTATCAATAATGCAATTAGTACTCAAGAAGTTACTATTTCCCATGCCCAAGTTCACATGGCTAGTAAGCAATGTTTGGGGACTCAAACTCAGGCTCTCCAGCTCCCAGGAATACTCACCCCACCAATTCATATTTCAGAGCCAAACTCCTAATTTTGGATTTTGCTTGGATCTCCCTCTGTGCCTTCCCAAAGATGGTCCCATGACAACTGAGAGAGGGTCCTTCACCTGGGCTACCTAGTCCCTGTGCAGCTCCCGTTCTCTTTGTCTGTTTCTGTACTTTTCAGCTTTGTTCTCAATTCTTCTCATTCGGGGACAGATAGCTTTTCCCTATTCTTCCTCTCTGTGTCAAATTACAATTAGTTTACATGGCAGAAACTTCCTGAGCCTGACCCCAGAGCAATTGATCCTTAATTAAGTTAACTGTCTCTCTCTCTCAAGACTGACACTCTCTGCAGGACACCAGTTTAGATCAGGTTTCCTTGGCCAGAGTTGCTTTGCTTATAACAGCAGTGTCATGGTGGCTAATGAATGTCACTGGGAATACATCCACATAGGCCAACCCATACTGCATGTGAAACTCTGTGTTAGGCTCTGGAAAATTAAGGAATGTAAGGCCTTTTTCCTCCAGAAAATGACATAGGTGTGAAAATCCAAGCTACCACCACCAGCTGTGCCTGAGGGATCATGGAGACAGAGGAGGAAAAATCATGTTCCATGGAGGGCAGATTGAATAGATGAGAAGATGTAGGGCAGGGCAGTCAGTGTTGATGGTACAGGGATGAAAAAACGTTTTGGAGATCACTCTGACAACCCATGCACAGAAATCACTGCATGCCCCAATTAATGTCTGATGAGTCTTGCATTGTTCTAGCTGATTAATTGGAAAAACAGGTTTTTTCCTCCACTGTCCTCTCTCTAGGAACTGGCCACATGGCTCTCTGATAAAGAACAAAGGATTCACTTGGCAAAAAAAACAAACAAACAAACCATGGACATCTCCTTACTGCTGCTCAACATCACTCTCCATCGTGCCTTCATCTACAGGAAACAATTGTTCTGTTGTCCATAGACTTATGGAACCAGGACCAGATTGCCCTTATCCCTGATGTGCTTAGGCCATGCCTGGAAAAGTTTTAGGGTTGCTTTGGCTCACTTTTTCCCCAGAGGTGGGAAATGTCACTCTGGGGATTCATGCTGAGGGCAACTTATTGGTGTAATAGATTTAAAAATTACTAATGTAAAGTTATGAGAATATGCATGGATGCAGAGGAATGCAAGCCTTCAGGGAGTACTTCCCCTCACTGAAACGTTACTGAGTGCTTGGTGCCTCACCTAAGAACCAAATTTCTCAGGATCCCCTGTCTCTCTCCCAGATAAATTCATCTGTCAGGAAACTCTTGTACTCTACCTAAACCCCAGTGGGACCTTTTTAAAATGTTACCTAAGTGTTAAGGAAGAACAGAGATGCAAAGACAGTTGGGATCCACTGAGCTGAGAGCCCACATTACTTTTCCAAAAAGAAGAAAAAAGCAGCTGTGAAGTGCTAAGCCTCTGCAGCCCATGTGATAGAGCTGAGCGTAAGCCCAGGAGATCAGGCAAGGTGGTAATGCATTTGTCACCGTAATAAGCTCTGTTGTTTAGCCAGTTGGGAGGTAAAGAAAGCTTCGGAGCAGTTTCGCCTGGCTTCCTGAGGGCCAGGGGAGCTGTTGGACCTTACAGGTGTGGAAAAAACTAGAGTGAGACGAGGAAGCAGAGAATTAAATGGAGGGTGAGTTATGAGAAGGCCACAGATGGTTCTCTCTGGCAAAGCCTCTTGGACTTTTATCAAACGCAACTTCCCCTTGTGCTATCACAATGGTGAGGCTGCCAAGATAGTACCAGCGAAATTATTCGCCCTCTTCCCTGAGACCTCAGGCTGCCTGTTCATCCAGACTTGTAACAAGTAAAAACAATTGGTGCTTTGTTTGCACTGTCTTACTCACCCCAGCACAGGAACAAGAAGTTCACCTCCAGGTTCTGCTTCTAAAAGAAATGTTTCAGAGCACAGGCTGGGAGAGGAACAAGGCCACTCCCATGAGGGCCCCATACTTTTAAGTTACCCTTTAGACAAAAAAAATCACCATCACCCCCAAGAACTTCAGTTTCCCCATAGCTTCAAATATCCGGGATGTTGGCAGAGAGGCTTAGAAACTAATGCAACTCCAACCAGACACCATTAAAGTAAAAAACCCCAAAAGAATAGGCCAACACGGTTTTTTTTGCCCACTGCCCAGGTGGGTTAGTCCTTTCTCTTTGCACAATCCCTATGTCTGTTAACCTTCCGCAGGCAGTACAGAGAAAGGGGTGAAGTGACCTGTGTTTTATTGATCAAATGACCTGTTGGCCCTAAAGAAAAGGAAATCCAGCTGCATTTCTGGCCTTCTCTTTCTAGAAGACCACAAAAGATTAATGTTGTTCACTCAGAAAGATGTTCAAAGAAAGAATGAAGCAGCTGCTACCCCTGGGAGCCCCAGCCCAAGGTCTGCATGTGTGTGTGAATGCACGGGCACATGGGCATGCACATATGTGCACATGCAAACACACAGTGCTGGCTGCAGCGACTCCATGCACCAGTGCACTTGAGTAAACCAAGTTCCCTGGTGGTCCTTCAAAAGATGAGGTGCTTCTTAAAAGGGGGTGACAGTTTCCGTGTTGGCAGCCCTCTCCCCTTCTTGTGAGCACTGCTCTTTTGTTGAAATCCACTGGTTTGACACAGGCCGATTCAGCCAAGCAGACAGCCCTGCTGGCCACTGTGGTCCCCTGAAAGCATTTTCTCTCCCTGGGGAGCAGAATAAAGACAGGTGAAGGGTGCATCAGTGTGTTGGCTTCCACCACCAGGGCCCTGGGCCTGTCTCCCCCTCCCCTGGCAACCTGCCCCTCACCCCCACCCATTTATCCCTGACTGGAGCCGGGTAGCTAAACAGGAATTCGATATCCCTCTCTCTGAAACACCCCCAACCCCTCCAGTGTCTGGAAGTGTTTCCCACGCCCCAGGGCTAGGGTCCACTATCCCTCCTGCCAAACAGCCCACACCTTTCCAAAATGACAATGCTGAACTCAGGCAAGGGGCCACATCCCTCTTGGGCCTCTTGACTTTTAGGAAGGGTAATCTTTTAAAAAGCCCTGCTTTGTAGAGCTTTTTTTAACCCTCCTAAGCCAGGTGGCCTCTGTCCCAAGTGGATCAGGCTCTCCATTGTAAGACTGGCTTCAGGCTGTGGAAGTGAGTGGGAAAAAAAACAACAATGTGCAAAATAGAAAGAAATAGCTTCAAACTCCTGCACCCAATCTCCATATTAAATTTAAAACAATACTAGACGTTGGATTCTTTGTAAATAAATAAATAAATCCTTCAGGAAAGAAAGTAGATCCCCCAGGACAAGTTAGACTTGAACTTTAATATCCTTGGCTGGGTTTTGGTCTGTAGCTGATGGTCAGATAGCAAAGACAAAAATCTCTAAAATAAACTCATTATTAGGCTTACTGCATCAATTCATTACCACAGTAGCTAGTCACAACCAACTATTTCTCTTTTCTGGATCAAGCTGAGATTAGTATTCATTTCAACCAATATACTTATTTCTTTTCTTCCATTGAGAGAGACTTAAAAATAGTCATCTAAAGGTCTTTTTTTTCATGCACAGACCTATTTACATGGCCATAGGCCTCTTGAGTGGCACGAGATACAATCAAACGAGCTGGCCAGGGCTCTAAATGTTGTACGTGCTTCTACTTCTGATTTCCCTTTCTCCCTTTTCTCTAGTATACTTTTGGAATGGCAGGTTTGGCTGAGTAACAGTCAAGAAATTTCTGTGCCCAAGAGATAGGCCCACACACCCATGGGGACAAGCCAGTATCATTCAGATCCTCACCAGCCTCTGTTGCTTCATGCAGGTTACTCAACCTCTCTATGCCTCAGTTTCCTTGCCTGTTAAATCAAATGATAATACTACTTATGAATATCTGTGTAGTGCAATACTATATTGGAATAAGGTTGTTATGAGGATTAAGTGAGATCACAATGGGAAGCACTTAACACAGGGCAATGTATGATGAGCTTTCCCTAAAGGATAGATGCTGGTTGGTGATGACAATGTAATAAAGATGACAGAAGAAATGTGTATAAAACAGTTGGAAATCAGAAAACCTGCTTTTGAGATTGGCTCTACATCTTCCTTGTTGTTCTCCTCAAAAAACTGAATTCCCCAAGCTAGTCTCTGCTCCTAATATTTAGGTCTAACTTCTGTAGAGCGAGCAACAATCTTTGCATAAGCATGTCCAAGTGTCAAAGTATTAATGACAGGTAGCCAGGTTGCTCAGAGTTGTTTTTAGAGCATCAGCGAGTCTGAGAGGAAGGGATTATGTATCCTGCTGGTCCATGTTTCTTCTTTCTGTAGTTCACAATTGACAAGGAAGGAGGGTAAGTAGTCTGGGGCCCATTTCTTTGCTGGAGACTGTCTTCCTGTCCCTGGATCCTCTGTTTTCTCGAGGAATTCATTCACCTCTGAGGGCTTATTTTACTGTCTGGGAAATACCTACTGATGCCCTCCTGGTCACCAAGCTCATAAGGCTTACAGGATCAATGAGCTAGAAGATTCTCCCAAGTTCAAAATGTCAAAGCTTTTGTTTTTTGCACTTTAGTATCAGACTGATAATTGTATTTTCCTATAGAAAGTGGTTTTCAAAGAAAGTATGAAGAGTTTGTTTCTAATAAATGTTTTGACTCTCAAGAGGAAGAAAGAAACTGGTGACATTACATAGGATTCTCCTTTCCTGATTTTGGACAGAATTTCCCAAATTGGCACTGATTTTGAACTCCATTTCTTGAAGGTGATGAGACCCTGCCAGAAGTTGGGCTTGGATATTTAAAAGAGTTTTCTTTCTTTTATTGTCTTGATTCATGGTGTGGAAAAGTCCAGAAGAAACAAATATATTAAGACACTTCAATTATGTGCATTAAGGGAAAGAAAGTCTTTCCCTTAGATTTTACTTAGATAGTAAAATCTAGAGTCTTTATCAGCTTGGAAATCTGCTGTGCTCACTCCCACACCTTAAGCTCATCACATCAATTATTGTTCAGGACATTTTTATAAAAGGACTCTTTGATGCTGAAGAACATGTAAGTAGAATGAGAGCAACAGGAAACATAAAACTAATCCCCATCATTCGAGAAGTCATTGATCATGCTCATTAAGTCTTTTTAATTGTATACCTATGAAATTTCAGGTTCAAGATTAGATTTCTTCTTTTGATATCAGTATGAGGTTTCCACATTAACTGTAGGGAAAGGTGGATCCTAAGGTTTGTGTGGGGTTTTTTTGTTTGTTTTTTGTTTTTAATTCAGTTGAGGCAGTGGCTAGAAATTAAAGGAGAAAAAGAAACCTCTAAACTGTTGAGATTTAGTCATCGATATAGTTTTTGGAGTAAATTTGTATTTTGCTACTCATTGCCTGGCCAGGCAACAAATCTATTTTGTTTGGATCTGAGAACCAGTTTGGAAGAAAAAGAGTTATATTGACGGTAATAGCTTAAACATGAAATTGTTTTTATTCCCAACTTGGAGAAATTGCAGGGCACGTTTTGTTTAGGCAATCCCTTTGACTCCAGTCTGAATACAAATGGAATACCAAAACCATTGGGCATGTTCCCCCTTATCTCCTACCCAGAGACTGATTTCATTACCATAATTGCAGGCTTGCCTGGCTCTTGGCAGCATCTCCCCTCTGAGACCCTTAACAGCCTTGCAGACAATTATTGAGGCTCAGTTGTTCTCTCTGCAGGCAGTGGGGGACAGGTCTACAGAGGAGAAAGGTTAAGTCTCCAAAGGCTCAGCAGTGCCCTGTCACTGCCCAGTGGTGCACTCCTTCTGCACTTGTCCTTTCCAAGGCTGTGTGTGGTTCCCAGTCACTGTCTATTCTCCAGCAATTACCCATTCTAGCAAACAACAGTAACACAAGACCTATGATGCATTCATTTTTTTCTCTTGTTTTTTTTCTTGTTTTGGGAAATTACTAAAAGTTTCATAATTATTTATACATATGTAAAAGATACTTACAAGAATGGGGTAATGGTGGTAGCATGGAATAAATCCAATGGTGCCCTTCTAGGCATCCCACACAAGAGGAAAGATGCACTTGAGCTGCCACAGCCCAAGGATACTCTGGCGTTGAAGCCACACCCTTGACCTTGGGTTTGGACATCATAGGGCCGCAACTCAGGTCCACTATCAGCTGGGCAACTTACTTTGAATGTCAGACTGAGTAGAATTCAAACCTTCCCATTCCTAATAGAAAAGGAAGAGGCCTTTTGTCTCAGGATGGGCACACCCCGGTGCAATTTGGCAGAGCACCCCAGCAACTCTCTCAGATGTCGGGTTAGGGCAAAGCTAGAAATCCATCTGCCCAGTACATCTTGCGCTGATTACTTGGAGCACGTGTTTCTGATTCATTTGCACATAACTCATCCAGGGGGTGTTGCAAGAGCTATGTGATGGCCAAAGGAACCCAATGAGTTTTTATTATACTTTTTAAACAAGTTTCTCTACGTTGATTGTCTCTCAGAGCCAAGAAGCTGAATTCTTCCAGCCCCATGACTTCCAAACTAGGCTCAGTAAATCTGAGAGCAAGTTTTGACCTTGGCTCTGGAACTATTTGCTTTGAACCTGAGGATCGGTTGAGGGGTATATGCGCTGGGTCTGGGCTACAGGATGAGTGAAAATCACAGCTGTGAAAGGCTGGATCTTGAGGACCTTGTGTTCACATCTCTACCTAACTGTGACATCCAGCCTCACTGGCATCTGTGGCCTCTTTGCTCCCTCAGTTGCATGTGGGGAGGCAGTACCTCTGTTACTTTCTTGTTGAGGGGAAGTGAAGCAAACTTGGTAAAAGCATGGGCTCTGGAGTTAGACTACCCACATCTGCCAGTTACTAGCTGTGTAACTTTAGGCATGTTTTTAATTTTTCTGTGTGACTCTATAAAAAGCTATCTTTTGCCATCTGACAACCACCCCAAAACTCAATAGCTTAAAGCAACAACCATTGGATTGCTTGTGGTCCCTGTAGGTCAGGAATTTGAGCAAGACTCAGCTGGCAGAGCTCATCTCTGCATCACATGATATCAGCTGGGATGACCAACTAGGCTGAGGATCCATGATGGCCCCGTGGGTATGACTGGGACTATGGAGCTGACCAGTAGTGAGGAGCCTCAGTTTTCCCTCTCTGTGGCCTCCCTGTTAATGTGGTCTCTATGTGCACAGTAGTCTAGGTTGGGCTTTCTTGCATAACAGTAGGAACATTCCAAGAGCATGAATATGGAAGCTTCAAGATCTCATGAGATTTGTCACATTGTAACTCTTACCACAGTCTGTCTACTGGACAAACTGTGTCATAAGGCCATCCCAGACAGAAAGGAAGAGGAAGTAAACTCAACCTCTTGGTGAGAGATGTGGCACTCACATACAAGGAAGAGAGGAGGTTCCAGGGCCACCTTTGCAGGTAGTTAATCACAGGGACCAGTCACCCAACCTTATAAGATTATTCTGAGGATTAAATAAGTTAATATATGGAAAAAGCATTTAGAACAGTGCCTGGTACAGAGTTAGTACTCAATAAGTGTTCAGTTTTATTACAGTTATTCTTGTGTCACTTCAGAAACACATATAGTACATGTTTTCTCCTTGAATTAAAGACTTCCCAGCAATGTAGTCATCAGTAAATCAGTGACCCTAGTGATGAACTGTCTCCTTCCACCCCAAGGCATAGGTACATCATTCTCTCTAGTCATAGGGTTCATTTGGGCCATCCCTAGATGTTTTACATTCTGTATCACCATGCAGTCTCAACTGTCCTTCATGAGTGATATATCCATCATTTGCCTCCACTCTCTCAGACTTTCTTCCAAGGGTCATCCACCTCATTGACCCTGGCCTGTTCTGAATTCTTCAGGTCACCATAGAGGTGGTGGACGGTCCTGACTCTGAAGCAGATAAAGATCAGCATCCGGAGAATAAGCCCAGCTGGTCAGTCCCATCCCCCGACTGGCGGGCCTGGTGGCAGAGGTCCTTGTCCTTGTCAAGGGCCAACAGCGGGGACCAGGACTACAAGTACGACAGTACCTCAGATGACAGCAACTTCCTCAACCCCCTCCGGGGATGGGACCGTCCGGCCCCAGGCCACCGCACTTTTGAAACCAAAGAGCAGCCAGAATATGGTGAGTTTACCACCCAGTAATATAAAATGGTGGGGAGAATAAATGAGGATAATGAGGACATGGAACCACGCAAAGCCCAGTTTACAGTATGTGGCTTTTGGTGTTCTATGAGGCATACCTCATAAAGACTCTCTTCCACCAAAGCCCCAAGGAGGCACCAGCAGACACATTTTTCCGGAAAGACTATAATTTTAAAATCACACCAATTATCCTAGGAGAGAATTTTTTTTTAAGTTAGGGGTCTTTGAGGTTCTGCCTTTTAAAAAAAAAAAAATTATTTCTAAAGAAGAAATCACCAAATCAACTTCCTTCTTTAAAAATGCATATTGAAAAATCAATTTAGTAAAAGAGATATGTTCAGCTGCTTCTTTTGACCAGGCCATCGCATTATGCTTGACATTGGCAGTGGTGTGGCCCTTGGGAATCCACATGAACGTATGCTTCACGGGTTGTCCAAGTGAGGCCTCCTCACCAATAAATTTTAAGATCCCAAGTTAGGACTTCCAGTGTCTCGTGTTTTCAGAGTAAGACAGGTGAGATAACAAAACTTTAAAATTCAGTAATTTAAATAATAAAAGTCCACTTTTCACATGAGATGAGAGAGTAGGGGGATCTCAGCTCTACTCAGCCATTCAAGGACTCAGGCTCCTTCCATCCTGGCACTCCACCAACTGTTAGGGTCTGAGAGTTATCTATGGGATGCTCTATATCCAGCTCAGCCAAGAAGACAGATGCAACCTAAAAAAGGTTTACATGCTCTTAACCCCCTCAGCTTGGAGATGACACACATCACATCTGCTCAAATTCCAGGCCCTAATGATATGGCCCCAAATAGCTGCAAAGGAGGCTGGGAAATGCAGCCTTCATGAGGAACCAGACAGTGTTCCTTGTGCTATAGAATGGTTGCTGTCTTACAAATGCAGCCATCATTGTGATTTCTGTGGCTTTACGATCAGCAGACTTAGGAGCAAGCACTGTTTGATTAAGATGATTTGTCTTGAACTCTCACCCTTACACGTTTTTCAGCAAAAAGACCAGTTGTATGTTGGAGAATTATTTCTGCCCACTAATAGATGATTCTAAGGAACTTCCAAAACAGCAAGGTAATTTTTTTCAGCTGCATCATTTAGTTGATCAACATTTATTAAGAACATATCCTGTGTTCATCATTATGTACCTGGGTAGAAAAATTAACTGATAGAGCAAAATAGTGCCATGATGGAGATATACATCAAATTCTAGGGGAGCGCAGAAAGAGAGCTCCCCAAACTCTTCCAATTAGGAAACTCATGAAGACCTGCCCCTTTTTCGGAGGAAGTCCAATTTATCTATTTTCCAGGAGGAAGGACTAGGACATATGGCATTTAACATATATTAGCTCATTTAATCAGCTCTTGGAGCCAGGTACCCCATTTTACAGATGGGGAATCTGAAACCTGGAGAAAATTAAGCAACTTGAAATCAAGGATTTACCTCAGTCAGTCAGTCCAAAGTCTGTCCTCTTAATCACTGTTATTCTGCCTCTGTAAGAGTAGGGGGAGGGGGAAAATAGCACACTGTTTAGGACAGTAGAGTGGATCTAGAAATGGTCACTTATATTGGAAGATAGAAAAGGAAGGAAAATCCCAGTGCTGTTGAACAGAGAAACAAAACACACAGGATCCCTGGGTGCAGGCCTGACAGTGCACAGATCTGTGGTTTAACCTGTTTCTCCAGCCAAAACAGAGCATTGTTTCTATGAGTGGGACTTAGACTCTTAGCATCTGAATCTCTTTGTTCCATGGCTTAAAAAATTCCATTCCTAGACCCAACCCTGGCCCTCCATCCTAAGGTCCTCACAGCCTGGCCCCCAAACTAGCTACATCAGTATCACCTGGAACCATGATAAAAATATGGATTTTCAGCCTCCCAGTTTCCAGGTCTACTAAGTCAGACACTCTAGGAGTGAGTCCCCCAAATCTATGTTTGAACAAATTTCCAGGGCCTCTCATTGAGCACGAGTATTTGAAATCAGTGGTTCTCAGCTTTGGTTGCTCATTATGTTCAACTGGGAAATTTTAAAAAACCCTGAGGCCCAATTTTTCTCTAGACGAGCAAGTTGAAGTCTATGGAGGTGGAGCACAGGCAACTGTGTTTTTTAAAGGTCCACGAGTGACTCCAATGTGCAGCTCAGGTTGAGGGCCATTGCTGACCTTTTACTGAACCAGAATGTCCATCAGTGAGATCTATCTGTCTTTACTTCTGTGTCTCTTTTTTCAACCATGGTTATCAGGCGATCCTCATGCTCACTTAAGTTTGAAGACCAGCATTAGAAACAACTCTTTCACCTAAAGTTTTTACAGAGTACCCTCTGCTGCATTCATGAACATCAAGAACATCTTCCATTTCAATCTTGAGGATAGATTTTGTTTCTTCTGGAGCAGTTACTGGGCTGCCTCAACCACCCTCATCCCAGCTTTCTGGGGCTATGATACCTGTAGAGCACCTTCCATCTGAATCTCTCAGCATCCCTGGGCTTTTGGAGTCTCTCTTAGTAACTTCCTCATTCTTAGGCTAGATATCAGGGTTGCTACTTTATGAAGAAAAATGTGTGCCTTATAATACTCCTAAGGCAGCATTTTTCAGACTTTAATGTGCACACAAACAAACTGGGGGGCTCATTAAAATGCAAATGCAGTAGATGTAGGAAGGGGGTGGGAGCCCAAGTGAGGCTGATACCTCTAGTCTTTGGACCACTCTTGGAGTACCAAGACTCTCAGCAGGTCATAGATGCTCAGTAGTATTTGCAAAATGATTGAAGAAGTGTTGCTTCTGAGACTGGCTCACCAGGAACCTGCGATTTTCAGAATTCCATACAGCTTTAGATGAGCTGAGTCCTCTTTTATTTCAACCAACAAGAAACTATAGTGCAATTTCTAAGTATTTAGCCCAGATTAGATGCTGTGGAGGAAACAGGGAGTGTATATACTGCCCAGAAAGGTGAGGTTCTTGCAATGACAAAGCAGTGCTGTCACTGTACCCAAGCACCCACTGCCTTGTCTGAGATGGGCTAAAATTGCCACAAGAACTGGTCTTATGAAGGTTGTTGATCTCAGATTTTTGGAGGTAGGATTTTTAAATGTCTGTGGCCAAAGAGTATTTCAAAAAATTGTAGATGAAATAAATAAAATAGAATGGAATCTTTAGAATGAATTATAAAATATTCAACAGAAGTTAGTTAGACCTAATTTGTGATCATGGAAACCCAAACTAGCTCCACTTTGGGCTGTATGTGTCTGAGATACCACACTTTAAATACCTCCTGTGTAGAGACTAAAAGTATCACCCAAGGCAAAGAAAAAGTTCAAATAAATGTTTTTCTGTCAAATAGTAATATGCCATTCTTAAAGTTGTTCAGAAAAGCCCGAATAATCAAATTAACGGGCACTGCTTATTGTAACCTAGGTTGGGACTCAGTTCTTTGCAATTCTGTAACTGGTCATGATCTTATTTTAATAGAAAATTTCAGTGATTTTTTTTTCAAGAACTTTTCTTTGTAGTGTTAAATATGGCCACATAAGTGAGTGTCTTAAAGAAAGGCGGCCAGCCTGGGCCAGAATCCAAGCTGCTGGAATACCAGAATATAGAACAGGATACAGCAGGAGCAGACAGACCTCAGATCTAATACCAACTCTGCCAAGTCTGAGCTGTGTGGCCTTAGGCAAGTACCTCAACCTCTCTAAGCCTCAATTACCCTATCCATAAAAGGAGGCTGTTTCCACCTACCTTGCAAGATTATAATAGGAGTTAAACCAGTGTGTTAGAGCAGCTGCTTAAATCAGGCCCTCAGTAATTGGTAGTCGCTATCATCTAGGATTAGTAGTGGAGGTTTGCCAAGAGCCAAGTCAAGACCCAAGTCACTTCAGTTGCCCAAACATCATGACTGGCCCACGGAAATCTCGTGCCTTTAAACAGTATAATAATTACTTTAGAATTTCAAATGACATCCTTGAAACCCAGCTCTCAGCCCCTGAACTGTGCATTGTTTTCTTCCCTCCCCAAGCAGTTTGATGTCACAGACCAGGGTTGTCAAATCACAGGGGCTGTTTTTTATTGTCATTGTCATCTTTGCAATTATTGTTACTCACATTCAGTTTCTGCTATGAGTGATGCTCCCTGTAGGTGAGCAAATGAGAACAAGTTTGTTTGATTATAGCAAAAACGAATACTGCCTTCAAAGCTTTGTTCCACAGTCAGAAATTTCCTTCCTGTCCTTTGAACACATTAAATAAATAGAAATCCCCAAGAAGAGAGCCTTTGCTGGAACATTCACCCAGGACAGTATTCTATAAAGGCCTTAGGGTGGTGAGCTGGCATACACAATCTCAGGAGGTAGTTTTATTTCATTGCTAGCTCAATAGAAATGACCAAACACATGGCTATGTACACATGACAAACACATGACCTAACTCTCAGAGACCCATATAAAAAAAAAAAGTTTCGAAAATAAATGACTCTGTGAGCACCTAAAATAAAAACATGAAGAACCAACTTACTAGGATGAGAAATCATTTGTGTTTTCAGACTCTGCTCACTAGGGAGAGAATGTATATTAAGGAAAATGTTATGGTGTATTTATCACAGTTAACATTTGTTGCTTAAGAAACAAACCCCCCCAAAATTCAGTGGCTTAAAAGAACAAACATGTTCTCTCTCAACAGTTTTCAGGTTGTCTAAGCTGTTCTGTTCTGGGCTGGCTTTGCTGGGGCTGGAAGTCTAGGATGACTTTACTTACAACAATGGGATCCCTGCTGGACAGCTGGGGTGCTAAGGTGGCTGGGGCTTCTCTCCACCTGGTTCCTCACCCTCCAGGATGCTGGCCTCAGGCTCTTCACATGGTAGTTGAAGTGTTTCTCACAGCGATAGGGCAATCTCTAATACAGGAGCACTTTTTCAGCCTCTGTTTGTATCACATTTGCTCTTTTCCCATTGGCCAAAGTGAGTCAGGTGGTCCAGGCTAGGGCCAGTGGGAGACGGGAGTAACCAAAGAAGAGAGAAATTATGGAAGTCATTTTTCACCTAACTTGACACAGTGTTGACTTCCAATAATTTTGATCCAAGATACAAAAACAAGAAATTACCTAATGCAGAAATTCCAATATAAGCACCATGGTGACTTTAATGTTAATATCTTAAAGTTCAGGACAATATTGCTCTCCTTATTACTGCAACACTGAGGAAAAGTCGCAAGATATCTAGATGGTTGGGGCCCTATTGCTTCTGCTGAGTCGAGCAGGACACCTCTTGGTATCAGTGGATTGTGTCCTGCACCTGTACCCACCACACAGGTGATGTGAACTCCACCTATGTGATTTAATAAGCTTTTTCTGACTGACCAACTGTCCTCTTTCTATTACTTTAAAGTCATTATCATCTTTACTTATATGACTCAGTACTGTTGTTACTCCCTTTAACAAACTTGGCCTCGCTGGTGCACGTAGGATGTGGTTGAATGTGTTCACATGTTGCACATAACCTGCCACACCCAGGTGCTACTGCTGACAAGAATGCAATTGTGTGGTTGTTCCAGGCACCCTCTGGTGTTCCTGGTGAAATTACCAAGAGATAGAGGACTGTAAAGTCTCAGAGGGAGCGGCAGTAGCCCCTACCTTAGGGGTTTGTTCCTCTGAAAGCCTCATGTCTCTCCAGTTCTACTCTGTTCATGCCTAGTAAGAGATGGGAGCCATGAGGGAGGCTAAGGCTGGGGACGCAGGCCCAGCTCCCTCACACAAAGCAGGGTTTCAAACATCTGCTTGGCCATGTGGTTGGAATACCATTTCTTAGAAGAAAATCAAAGTTCAGAAAAATTCTTTTTTGGGAGGGGATAGAAATGGATGGGGCCCCTGGAGGCAGGTGATATGTGAGCAAACGCTCCACTCTGGGTGAGGAAAGAGGACACCAGCATGAATCACCCTCCCCATCCCCGCCCCAACTCTGCTGAATGGGCCAAGGAGGCTCGGGGGCCCTGTGTTTGCTGAGGAGTGTTCAGAGTGAATGCCATGTAAACAGCCCGGGAGGCTGGCACAGGGCCCACAGTTCAGGTGGAAACATGTGTGGACAACATTCTTGCCCGGCCCACGTAATAGCAGTCCCCACAGCCTGTTATGAATGAAAAGGACCCCTTCCCCGCAAGGCACATGCCTGTAGCTCTGAGTTTGGCACTGACAGAGGCCCCAAGGCTGGAGGAACATTTGGATAAACCAGGAGATATTATTAGTGAGTGGAGATGCTTCAGAAATAGGTGAGCTTTTGAGGGTAGGGGCTTAGCATTAGAGCCCAAGTTTTCCTTTCTGTTATCATTATGACCTTAGATAGTCATCCTAAGGACTTAGTTTCTTACTTTTAAGAAGAGGAATTTACTGTGGATAATATACCAACCTCTCCCACTCCTCTCACACGCCAGGCCCCTCTAGCCTGCTCTGCTTCTTTCATGTCATTCACCAACCTTTAATCTACTGTATAATTCACTCATTTTTATTTACTAATTATTGTCTGACTTCTCTCACTAAAATATTAGTTCCACTAGGGCAGGGAATCTTTAAAAGTTCTATTTAACAATATATCCTATATACCTAGAACTGTGCCTAGAATATAATAGGGGCTCAAAAAATATTTGTTGGATGGATGTTGAGCAATGTCCTCAAAGGACCATCTCTAATTTCAGCATTATGTATCTGTTGTCTGCTCCTATATAACAAACCAGCCCCAACCTTCATGCATTAAAATGACAGCACGTTATTATTTCTTATGATCCTGTGGCTCAGGAGTTTAGACAGAGCCACTCTGGACAATCCCTTCACTCCCAAGGTCATCACCTGCATTCAGCTGTCCACCAGAAAGGGCTGGAACATTCACAGAAGCTTCACTCACATGTCTAGTGGTCCTTCATGTCGCTTCTCTCTTTCCACGTGGCCTCAGCTTCTTTCACAGTGAGTGCATTTCCCAGAAGAAAAGTCAGAAGCTGCCAGGCCTCTTAAGGCCAAAACCAGCACAGATTCTAGGGAAGGGGAAATAATGTCTGTCTGTCTGTCTCTCTATAAATGTAGGCACAGGGAGGTAAGGAACTAATATTGGTCATCTAACTATCTATCATATTATTTCATGATTCCATGCTCTACAAATGTATGCATTCTCAACAAGCACTCACTGGACACCTTTTGGAAGTCAGGCCCTGGTCATGTGCTTACCACATCAGTGCCCATGAAGTTCATCCCTAAAATTAACCCTGGAGCTGTAAACCTTTTGAGTCCAGCAGGCATCTGTGCCTCCAAGACTGAAAATGATAGAAGTGGACAATTGGCAGGCTGCTTATCAGGGTAGATCTGGGGACTCTTCAGGTAAAGCTGTGACTGTCTCCCTGGTTCCCTTCCAGATTCCACAGATGGGGAGGGTGACTGGAGTCTCTGGTCTGTCTGCAGCGTCACCTGTGGGAATGGCAACCAGAAGCGGACCAGGTCTTGTGGTTACGCATGCACCGCAACGGAGTCTAGGACCTGTGACCGCCCAAACTGCCCAGGTGGGTTTATGCAGGAGTGTGGCTCCAAGTTCAAGGGGAAACTTTTAATTTATATTTTAAAACTTATAAAAATTGACTTTTTAAAAAAACAACAATTTTCCTAATAAGGATTCTGGCCAGACTGAGACAAGAAATGAGTAATGGGCTTAATGGATGAAAAGATGTTGAGGATGAAAAATAATTGTGACTCTCTGAACAGTGGTTGTCACACTACAGCCTATTTTTGCATGGCTCACACATGTTTAAAGAGTTGTAAAGAAGATGGAGGAGAGAAAAAAGAAGTAGAAGAAGGAGCTATATGTGACCAAGACCATATGTGACCCACAAAGCCTAAAATATTTACTCTCTGACCTTTTATCAGAAGTTTACCATCTCCTGGTCTGTAGTTTTACATTTACTATGTGTTCTCCATTTCCAGGTAAAATACCAATCTCAAATAATATCTTAGGCCTTCCAAGAAACCGCATATTTCAAATGGCTTTATCTCAAAGAATCTCAGACACAGAAAATTTAATCTCTGCAACCAGGACTTTCTTTTTCTACCCTTAAACTCTGTTCTCAAACAGTAAGACTGAGATTTGGAACAAAAAAAAAAGTGGAAGAACAAAAAAGAAGTTTCGAAGGAGAGAGAGGAAGGATCAGATTGGGCATGTGCATGTTAGTCAAGGGTCCTGTGTAGAAAAATGTCAGAAGTGGTAGTTCTGGCGCCCTCTCAGCCATACGGATGAGTTTTAAAAAGCTAAACAAATATCAAGATATTTTCCTATGTAAATTTCCTACATGCAGCTGAGTTAGAAGTCTGGAAGGATGGGATTTGGATAGGTAAAAATAAACCAATAAATAATAATACTATGGGGAGGAAAAGAAGGGATACAGGAAGAAAATGATGAAGCAAAAGAAAAATGAAGATAAACATGAAGAATATGAAGGCAATGAAGAACAAATGAAATATATGATTATGAAGAATGGAGTTTTTTGAGTATTTCAGTATCAAGCAAGTTTCTAAGTTCTTTATATGTATTGTTTTGCTTAATTCCCACCATAGCCTCATTATTGTGTTCATTTAACAGTTATGGAAACTGAAGCACTGGGCTTAATTGGCCCAGAGTCACACAGGTAGCAAATTATCAATCTGGAATTCAAAGCCAGACAGTTTGATTCCAGAGTCCATGTTCTTAACCATTAAACTATCCAGCAGGAGGAAGGGTACTGGGCTCAGCCACACCTGGACACAGACTGAATTTCAAGTCAGGACTTGGGGGATTGCCTCTGGTTTTCTCTTCCAGAGCTGGCACTCAGACCAAGATGGTCCATTTAGATATCTTATTAGGGTAAGGTTTGCTGCCATTTTGAATATTTCCTTCTCATTTTCTCTCACCACTGTTGTGGGCAATAGCCCTGCTCATACAATTTCTTCTCATCCGACCCTTCCCTCCTTCCATCCTTTCTGCTTTTCTATTCCTGGCTCTTTCATCTTTTCAGGACTCTCTTGGAACATGACGGGTTTTTTTTTACAGGATTTCTTTCCTTATTAGGTGTGTTGATTCTCAGCCATATTGGAAAGAATTACAGAGCAGGCGGTCTCTCTGGCCTGGCAGTGATTGCACTGTAAAAGTTTGTTCCCTAGGTCAACCCTATAAATAAGTTCAAGGGGCCTCACCTAATATCAGAGAAAGCCTTTTAAAGGAAATCAAGTCTTGCCTAACAGGCAGCCAAGTCTCTCCAACTAGTCTATGTTCCACAACTCCTGCTTCTTCTGACTGCCTCAGCTTGCACAGGATTCCTGTTTGTAAAGAAAGCCTGGGTGGAGTGGCAGTTTGGAGAGGGGAGGAGAGCCAAGAAGATTGAGGCAAGTTGGGTTCAGTCCCTCAGAGCAAGTAATGACAAGCCCAGCTTACCTTCTTCTTGAAGCATCAGCAACAATGTTAAAAGTCCCAGAATATGAGATACCTGGTCTTTGGCTATGGACTACTGCATCCTCAAAATGAGCTAGACAAATATTCAAGGAACAATATCAGCTAACTCTTACATCTTACTATTCTAAGAGCTTTCTTTACACATTAATTCATTGAACTCCATGTGGTGGGTCATTTATTTCTCCCCATTTTACAGAAGTGAAAGTAGTTACACAAAGGTTAAGTGGCTTGCCCAAGGTCACACAGCTAGTAATGATTTATAACCCAGTCAGTCAGTCCTTAAGACAGGTCTTGACCACTAGACTGGTATTGGGCACTGCCTCTAGTTTAGTTTGTCACCCTGACACCACCAGACAGACAACTATCTTGACATGTGTCCTCACCCCTGCCCAACACCCAACTCCTAGACCTAGTGAATGAGCTTCTTTGGACTCATTCAGGCACATTTGGATCTGATTTCATGCTGTGCATGGTATCTGGGGTTTTAATATATTTTATGCTCTACTACCTGCTTTTTACTGTTTCCTCTGTTGGCAAGTTTCTACCCATGAATAGTAGTGAACACAAAAAAAGGCTTTTTTGAGGTATATTTGGTTTTTTTAATTGGAAGGGGTGTAGATTTCTTCCAGATAACTAGAGAAAAATGAGCCCCTGTCTGTGTTTAGGAATTGAAGACACCTTCAGGACAGCTGCCACTGAAGTAAGTCTGCTTGCAGGAAGCGAGGAGTTTAATGCCACCAAGCTGTTTGAAGTTGGTAAGAAGATTTTTTCTTTTTTATTCAAATATTGATTTAGTATTTTGGAGATTCCTTTTGCCTTTGCAATGTCACCCTTGGTCTATTTACATGTTTTTTTTTTCCTCATATGGGGTCCAATGTTCCTAGCATATTTCTTATACAAGGTCAAGTTTCTTAATTCAGTACTGCCTCTGTTTTCTGACCTGTAAAATGGAATGAATAACTAGTACCTATCTTATAAAGTTATTGTAGAATAATAGAGTTCATATTTGTAAAGTGTTTAGAACACGTCCATCACACTGAACATCTATATTAGTTTGATATGTAAAAATAAGTCAATGGTGTCCTAGAGGTACATAAATTATGATGACCTGCCACTCTGAAAGGAAAATACAAAGTTATTTTCTGGGGCTGCACTGAGTTTTGTTTCTGAAGACCCTGCTCTCTGAAAGAGACCCTCACTGATTTCGCAGACACATACTCCCCAGAATGGAACCTCCATTCTCTCAGCCACTGTGCACTCAGAGGCTTGCAAGGCTGGAATTATAGAACTCAGAGCCATATGGAGCCTTAGCACATCCCTGCTGGTGATACCCTATTCTATGTACTCTCTGTGTCTCCTCCCATTTAATCTTTAGCTCACTTTACGAGACAGGTGCTATTTATATCTTCAATTTAGAGATGAGAAAACCGGAGCACAATGAGGGAGAATAGCTTGCTCAAGGTCACAGAGCTACTTAAATAGTTGAGTTGGGTTTCAATCCCAGGCAGTCCAGCACAAGAGCCCACACTTTTCAGTGAGGCCAGGCCTTTGCTGAGCTCCTGAGAGATGCCCCATTTTTCTCTTCCTCATTTCACTGAAGAAGATCCCAAGCTCTCCTCCAAGTTGTGCCCCCATCCTGGCCATTTGATTTCCAGTCATGACACACCAGCCTCCCAGGCGGCTGGGTCAGAGCTGGAGAGTCATCTTTGATGTCCACCTTCCTTTACCCACAAGCTCACTAAGGCTTGGTAGCCATATTTCTCTTAACTACTCTTGATCACACTTGCTGTTCCTGCCCTGGACTTTTACAACTGATATCAGTACTAAATATATCTTCTTACTGTACAACTCAATTAATAACTCACTATCTATTGTTCAGAAATCCTCATTGGTTACCTATTGCCTGAACAAGCCTAGGCTTGCTGAACAAGCCTAACCTGCAGTGAAGACCTCCACAATCTGATACCAACAACCTAAGTCCCCACAACCTCTGCATCAGTGAAACTGAAAATGTTCAGTGAAACAATATGTTCCCTACTGCTGGACAACCCCACCATATTTTTTTCTGCCCAACCTTGGTTTGTACAAGTAGTTACTCTTTGCCATCTCACTCAGCCAGTTCTTCCCGTAGAGCAATGCAGGGCCAGCATAAACACATCTTTTGGTTTTTTTCAAATGAAACAAGGAATCCACGTTAGTAAGTGGAATCACCTAAATCTTAAATGTTAAAAATTAATTCAATATTTTTTATTACTGTAAAGGCCAAACACAACTTCTCTGGGGGCTGGTTCTGACTCCACGCTCATTGGTCAGTGGCCTCTGGCCTAAATGTTAGGTTCCCTAAAAGCTGGGGCCACCAGCCCCTTTCACTTTGAGTCATCTTTTCACATGGATTTGCATACAATGACTATTACTGCTTGGTACTTAAGATTGAGAGGTTAGCCCACTGGCTCTAGTTTTAACTGGGTCAATTACTGGCAGAAATACAACTTAGCCCTACAAATATTACTTTGAGGCATTTTCTACCCCATTACCATGCATTTAAAGAGGAGATTTAAAATATCCCTCTGAATTATTGTTAATTTTTTTATGGATGATAGTGGGGTTATAGTTAACCCTATATCCCAATATCCTCCTTTTTTTTTTATTTTAATTTTTTGGAGATGCCTACTAAAATTTAAACTTAGGTATAATAATATAATATGTTTCAAAAAAAAAATAAAGAACGAAAGTTGAGTAATGGTGATGGCATACAGGTAGTCAAGTTCAAAGTTTCCAAGTTCAAAGGAGGTGAGCATAGCCTGGTGGTTCCAGGAGCTGGAAGGATTGAATCTGGAAGGAGAGGAAAAGTAGATGTCAATGTCATCCTGCTGTCTGAGCATGTGGTGAAAGCGTTTCTCTGTGGCCTTTTTCAGACACAGACAGCTGTGAGCGATGGATGAGCTGCAAAAGTGAGTTCTTAAAGAAGTACATGCACAAGGTTATCAATGACCTGCCCAGCTGCCCCTGCTCCTACCCTACAGAGGTGGCCTACAGCACAGCAGACATCTTCGATCGCATCAAGCGCAAGGAATTCCGCTGGAAGGATGCCAGCGGGCCCAAGGAGAAGCTGGAGATCTACAAGCCCACTGCCCGGTACTGCATTCGCTCCATGCTGTCCCTGGAGAGCACCACGCTAGCTGCCCAGCACTGTTGCTATGGCGACAACATGCAGCTCATCACCAGGGGCAAAGGGGCGGGGACACCTAACCTCATCAGCACTGAGTTCTCAGCAGAGCTCCACTATAAGGTGGATGTCCTGCCCTGGATAATCTGCAAGGGCGACTGGAGCAGGTATAATGAAGCCCGGCCTCCCAACAATGGACAGAAATGCACAGAGAGCCCCTCGGACGAAGATTACATCAAGCAGTTCCAAGAGGCCAGGGAGTATTAAAGAGAGACCACCTCTGGTCTTTGTGACATGAATGCACTACACTGATCTGCCGCCTCTTATCAGCATTGTGTGTGTTTGCATATGCCACATGAGTATTTTTCATAAGTTACATTACAGGTGTGTGCCAGGCCTGGAGACTACCATCTGAAGCCACCCTTGCCATCTACAATTCCCACAGACCTCCTTGGAACTCCTCCTTGGGATATGTGGGAAAGAGGATGAGGACAAAGAAGCCAGAAGAACCTGGAAACCATAGAGGGTGGGATTCAATTCACACCTAGATCCAGTGTTTCCTAAAGAAGCAAAGGGGAAAAGAGACTGAAGTTGTAAACATTATAAGTTTTTATATATAACTTATTTAATATGAATGTGACTTAAGCGTAACCTTTTCTCTGGAGTTGTCATCATGAAACTGTTTTATCACTTCTGTGAGAGTTCAGACAGGGCTTAGGAGGTGGAAGAGAAAGGGAATTCATAATGACTTTTTAAAAAAAAGTAACTCAATAGAAGTATATCAAAACAAGAAAACACTCACCTTAAACCAAATATTGTTTAGTCATGAGGCACCTTGCTGAAGTCTCAGCATCAAAAATGTTCTTGCCTAAGACTGAGTAGAGATTGGGGGCGGGTGCAGCTGGATATTTTAGGGGCAAATCTGAGGCCGGTTTTAAATAGGCTTTAAAATAAAAGGCCAATATTAGCATAATGCCTTGATTCTACTTAAATGCTTCAGAATGGCAGCATTTCTTCTCATGTCTTAGTAAGTCCAGAAGGCTGCATGAAAGTCTAACACAAAAACAGGGCATAGCACTTTTCCAAAGGAAAAAGAACAAGATAAATGGGAAAATAACATGGACCTCATTTCATCTATTTTATTATAATATCATCTTAACAATGTTTTTCTCCATCAGTATATTAACAGTAAATAGATCTAAAAAGGAGGACTCAAGTCTAGGAAATTGTAATTTTTTATGTTTTAAGAAAGGAAAAATAACTACATTATTTTTGTAAAGTATTTATTAAGTCATTGAATTTAGTGCATCAAGCAATTGTAATATGACCTGGTTCTGTAGTGTGGAACTTAGGACAAATAAAGAGTTGGTTATTATGCAATATTTACTTGCAAAACTCCAGGAAAAGAGAATATATAATAAAATCATAATAAAATGTGTTACCTGCAGTAAATGTGTTACTTGCAAATATTTATGATACAAATACCATAAATAGCTCTGGTGAAGCAGGGCTTTGAGGCAGAGGAGAGAAAGGTTCGAGTCAGGTGGGAATAAAAGGTTGATTGATTGATGTGACGGCGGTGGATGTAAGGCATAGCATCTTTGATACCAAGAATGTCAACCCAGCCCCCAGGAGGATGAAGCTTATTGACGCATGTGCAACTTCTTGCCCACCCATAACTAAGAAAGAGCTATGAAAACCAAGTCTGCGTTAAGGCTTAAGACCTCCCAGTTGAGCGGGACTGCTCCCAAACAAAATTCTGCAAGTATGGTAATAAGTAGAACTACTCATCACACAAATTACTTCTTTTCCAGACGACAAAAGCAAAGCTCAAATAAAATAAATCACATAAGACCCATCTTTCCTGTCCTAGTCCAGTGCTCTTTCCACTATATCTAACTTTTGGTGTCCTCATATTCCTGGTATCTTTGGTATTCCAAATTACCTACCCTTAGGTTCGCCTAATAAATTCTTGTTCTTATCGAAGGGCTCCGATCAGTCATTTACATTTTAGAATGAATTATCCATGTATTCCCCACTCTCAGAATATTTATATTTGAGATCTATTTCTAATTATGAAATGAAAGGCTTATTTATAACAGAAAGCATTTCAAGCAATTGAATCGGTAGGGAGAGAGTTAATAGGTCTATACATCAGGGGAAAAGATTTGATTTCTGATACCAGGAAAACTATTTTTGCAAAGACAGTTCAATGAACTACATTACCTTTGAGATGGTGAGTTCCCTGTCAAGACAGGTATTCAAGCAGAGGCTGGAGACGAAACACATGGGAAATTCAATTAAGTGATGAAAAAATAAAAAATGTACAGCAATAACAGCCTCTGATATGTGTTCTCTTAAAACTAAGTGTGATGATGGGAAATAGAGGCAGGAATCAGAGAAGTACCTATTGGGTCTAATGGAGAATTGGTATTTCATATAGCAGCAAAGAGGGCAGGAGGAGTGAATGCATTTTGAATAAGAAAACAGTATGGACAAAGGCAAGCAACTAGGAAAGAGCTTGGTGTTTTCTGAAGACTAGGATGTTTAAAGTGATGAGCAGAGAAACAAGAGTGGCAAGTTATAGAACCATATCACAAGTGTTTGTGTTAAGGATTTAAAATGAAAGATTAAAGGAAATAGTTCTTCCCTACTACAGTGAGAATGACCTAGATGAGTAATATTTTCTATGGACAATTTGCCTTTTCATATCAGATCTTGCTGACCGAATGAACTGGGAGTTGGAAGGTAGGGTAAATTGGGAGGAGGGGAGAGCTCCTAGGCTCTTTCTGCAAATATCCATAGCATTTCATACATCATGAGGACAGTGCCACATGTCTGTAAATTTGATGAACTATAATATGCCTCTATCAGGATGAGCTAGTTTGCAGTCCCAAAGCTCTGAGAGGTCAATGAGCGATCTTCAGAAATCCAGACCTCTCTGCTCAGATTATCTACTAAGACAGGAGAACTGAACTCATTCAGTACAGGACCCCAAGCCAGCCCCAAGGAAACCCCAGGTAATTAATTCTCTCATGGAAAGCTTGCCTGCAGCAGAGTAGACTATCTGTACCCTCTGCTGCAGCACCTGTAAATATGACCCCTCAGAAGCTTCTCTAATCTAAACTTTACTCCTTTGACTCTCACTGGAAAGAGCACTATTTCTAGTAATCAACCGGGCCTCTTGGTTGCCACATTTGAGCAAGCCAACAATGGCAAACAGGCCCAAGGCCCCTCTCGTGGCTGCACAAGGGAAGGGCAAGAAAGAGGGGCCGGCGAAGTGTTGCGCTTGCTCACCAGCCCCCTGTGTTTGCTATGATTATAGTCTCCCAACAGTTTCTTTTTAACTTTTTGATGTTTTTTTCACTTTATTTTTTATTGTGTTTTTTTACCATTACCATTTAGTCCCCTTATACCCTCCTCCCCCAACAATCACCACACTGCTGTCCATGAGTCCTTTTTCCTTCTTGCTCCATCCCTCCACCCGCTAACCTCCCACCCCACCCGCCTTAGCTGTCATCTGTTTTCCATGCATGAGTCTGTTTTGCTTGTTAGTTCAATTTGTTCATTAGATTCTACATATGAGTGAAATCATATGGTATTTGTCTTTCCCTGACTGGCTTATTTCACTTAGCATAATGTTCTCCAGGTCCAACCATACTTTCGCAAAGGGTAAAACTTTCTTCTTTTTTACAGCTGAGTAGTATTCTACTGTGTAAATGTCCCATCGTTGTTTTATCCACTTATTTATGATGGACACTTGGGCTGCTTTGAAATCTTGGCAATTGTAAATAATGCTGCAACGAACATGCTTCTGCATTTCTCTCTTTATGGCTCAGTGGCCAAGAGGGTGGAGTTCTCCATCTTAAGCCCAGGGATGAAAGAATAGTTTCTATACCAGCCACTCTTTCCTAAGCACACACCTTATGCCTCTGTACTAATCACTTTGCCAAAGGAGGCAGACATATTAAATCCATTTTACAGAAGACCAATAAAGTTATTAAACTTGCCCAAGGTCATTACACACCAGTTGGTTAAAGCTAGTTCTGTCTGATCACCAAGTCCTTACTCTTAACCTTAATCCCTGCTCTACTCTTTCTAACTGTTCCCAATGCTCACAGGATCAGATGTTTGTTTGTTTGCTTCTTTGTTTGTTTTTCTCCCACTCATCCTGCCTTTGCTCAAATTGTTCAAATCTTCCAAATATCTCTGTTCCAACCTTTATAGTGTCTCACATTGAAGGCAGAGGATCTGGCTTTATTTCTACATGTTATGCTCTGTTCTCTCATTACACAAGAGAATTTTTGATCCTGTAGCTGAGTCCTATTTCAGATTAGGTAAGTAGCAGAGCTCGATGTTTCTAGCAGAGCTCCAAGATGAAAACAGAGCCTGGTCTGTTTTCCCCACTGTACATAAACCCCATGCCGTTCCCTGTTGCATAGACCTCAGGAGCTGATGCTATGTCTCATGCTTCCTCCAAACCCAGCTCCTAGCATTACACCTGGAAGATGTTGTCAGGCAATGTGCAGAAGGTCTAAGAGTTTGGGGTTGAATCAGACTGCCTGGCGTCCTGTCCTTGATCCCTTACTTGCCTGCTGGGTAACTAGGTAAGTTAACAAGCCTCTGCACATTTCAGTTTCCTCATACACTTGTTGTGAGAATGAACTTAGATAAGAGACATGAATTTCCTAGAACAAGGCCTGTCATGTATCATCTGCAATGAAAGTTGGGTATTGGCATTTAGTAACTAGACAAATATTTATTATTCCAGATGCCAAAGATACAGCATTGTACGAATTCAAGTTTTCCTGTTGGAGGGTAGACAGCTAATAAATAAGTACATAATCTGAGATCATGGGAAATTATATAAAGAAAAATAAATTACTTGATCACATGTGCATGTTGCATTATTTAACGTAATGATAGGTACTGTAATAGATAGTCCTCAAAATCACAGTGGCTTACCACAATAAAAATCTAGAGTGTTTCTTGTCCTGTGGCTTTCCTCTAAGTGATGACCTAGGGACCAAGGCTTCCTCCATTTGTGGCTCAACCATCTCCAAGGTGTGACTCTCTAGGACATCCTGGTGGTCATCTCTATCTGAGCCTGCTCAAAGAACAGGTAGAGTATGCATCAGGGTTTGTGTAGGCCAGGTAGGGAAGTATTAACATCACTTCCACTCAATCTTCAGAGATCTGTCCACATCCTTCTCCAAAGAAGACTGGCAAATGAAATCTACTTTGATGCCCAGGAAGCAGAGATGGGCTGTGTGAGACTCAGTCAGTCTCTGCCACACAGGTAGACCACCAACTACCTGACTACAGAAGGCAGGAATGAAACTAGTGAAAGGGGCTCTGGATAGGTCCAAAGCAGGTAACTAAAGGGAGAGACTCTTCTCATCCCAACACTATCTTCTACCTGGTATTGTAGTGCTAAACTGGACCTCAGTTTACTATCTATAAATTAAATCAGGCCAGCTATACTACCCACTCATTGGCAAATGGCTTTGGATGTCCTTCACAGCCCCTTGGCACTTGCCATATCTGTGTATACCAGTCCAACTCTCAATGGGAAGCTCCTGCAAGTCTTAACCTGAAGGCTTTCTCTAGCCACTGGGGCCCACTCAGCTTGTACAGGGGCAGACTGAGGTGCAGGGGAGTTAACAGTGTCCCCCAGGAGAACTTAACAGTTGATAGGCTAAAACTTGGTGGGTCACTAGCCCAGCTCACTCACCCCTCAAGTGGGGCAATTCTCAAGCATACTGTACACAATTCCCAGAGCTCTCAATGGGACTGAGCTCCAGTCATCCACGGTGGTTATGTGCTTGTCTTTTGTTTCTACTTCC